TATGGCTACATTACGCATCTCCATTCCATTTATCATGAAATAATGTGTAGTTTTTCTTTTATTCATGCCATAAATTGGCATATTGTATATTTCTGACCAATATATCGATAAACGTCATATCGTGATAAAATTGTTATTGTGATATCGTTATCGTGATATCGTTATCGTGATAATATCGTTATCGTGATAATATCGTTATCGTGAGCTTTGTATCGTGTATCGTATCGTATCGTGAGGTACCCTTAGGTTCCCACCCCTAATATATATATATATATGTTGTACATGCCTTCTCTACTCTTTACCTCTCTGTCTGACTGTTGCACTGAGCCAAAGCAATTTCCAAGTCTGTGACTTCCTGTTACTGGCAATAAAAATTATTCTGATTCTGATTACTATTGCATTCTTCGCCATTGCCAAACTACGACCTAATAGATCCATGACTTCAACCAGCCAATTTGGCGTAAACTCTTGCTGTCACCGTAAATTACCTACAATACCAGCCTCTCGCACTCACTGATTGGTCGGATGGGATTCAACTGATGTATTTCAGATACAGGGACCAGACCCAGATGCTTCATGCACAAATGCGTACATGATAATTGATCGTAGTTTACGGATGGCTAAGGCCAGGCTATGTCCATGTGGACTGCCAAGTCCTGGATGTACCTGAATGACCTCTGAGCCATGGATGGAAAGCTGAGTGTGGTTTCTTAAATGTCCTGGGCCAAACATGACTTATTCTATCTTCTTCACATTGATGATGAGAGGGTGGTCCTCGCACCAGTGTACAAAATGCTTCACCTGCAGGCTGTATGTTGTAATGTCTGTGTCCTTGTGAGCGGTGCATACAAGTCATTTCCTCATCCTCCTCTCGGTTCATCCTATCATAACTGCGTGTATGTAATGCCACAGTACGTCCCTGCGTTCAGGCGTCTGCCACGAGAGGAAAAAAATGTGAAATGTTGGTCAGAGGACAGCATTTCCACTCTACAGGCTTCGTTTGAATGTACAGACTGGGACTGCTTCTATAATGCTTGTGGTGATGATATCACTGTATTGTGTGATACAATCTCCTCATATGTAACTTTCTGTGTTGAAAGTTACATATGAGTAACTACCTTCAAAGAAGGTAGTTATTTATCCAAATAACAAACCTTGGGGGACTTAAGATTTGAAATCAACTATAAATAGAAAGAAAATGGCCTATTGTACCGGTGACCAGGTGGAGAAAAAACATGCTTCACAGGAAGTAAAAACAGAAATAAGGAAAACCTGATAAAGCTATAGAGACAAAGTTGAAGCCCAGTACAGCAGTGGGGACATAAGAGCAGCCTGGAGGGGGATTAAGAACATGGCCTCTATGGGTCATCAGAAGGAGGACAGATAACCTGTCATTGTAAACAGTGTGTCTGAGACCAACTAGCCCAGTGCTTTTAATTCTTTTTTTACTCGTTTTGAAAGAAATGATGTTTCACATGACATTAATAATTGCAGGAAGTCACTAAAGCCTTTGAATGGAAATGAGGTTTCACAAAACACGGTTAAGACCCTGTTTAAAAAAACAAAGGTCGGGAAGACCAAAGGGCCAGATGCGATTGGTGGTCGCACTTTGCACCATTGTGCCAGTCAGCTCAGCGGTGTGTTTTGTTTTTAATTCCAAAAATGTATTGATCTTTGAGCGATTTCAGACCAGTTGCTTTAACCTCACTGGTTATGAAAAGCCACATTTTAAAGACTCACATTCTCTTCTTAAAGGAATAGTTCACCGTTTTTACATACTGACAAATGTTCTTACCTTACCTTAGACTAGTTAATACGTACCTGTCTGGTCTTAGTCCGTGCGCTCTGTCATGCAAACGGAGCAAAAACGGGAGCACAACCGCAGCCTCCTCTGTATATTTTGTAGCACCAAAAGGTAGCTCCCGCTAGAAGCTACCAAACTCTTCCAAGTGTTCCCTATTAAATGTATATAGTTACGTGACGTGTTACACTGCAAAGTATAGTAACACAGAAATGTAACAGTCGATTTTCTCAGCGGATAAAACGGGTACTATATTGTGAGGCGTAGTAATCTGAGGGGCGCTACGTCCGCGCACTAACTTCTCTCCGGAGACTTCTCTCTCGCTCACTTCCGTCAATAGAAGCAGCGTGACTTGTAATACACACAGTAGCAGCGAGAGAGAAGTCTCCGGAGAGAAGTTAGTGCGCGGACGTAGCGCTCCTAACTTCTCTGCGCACTAACTTCTCTCCGGAGACTTCTCTCTCGCTGCTATTGTGTGTATTACAAGTCACGCTGCTTCTATTGACGGAAGTGAGCGAGAGAGAAGTCTCCGGAGAGAAGTTAGTGCGCGGACGTAGCGCCCCTCAGATTACTACGCCTCACAATATAGTACCCGTTTTATCCGCTGAGAAAATCGACTGTTACATTTCTGTGTTACTATACTTTGCAGTGTAACACGTCACGTAACTATATACATTTAATAGGGAACACTTGGAAGAGTTTGGTAGCTTCTAGCGGGAGCTACCTTTTGGTCCTACACAGTATACAGAGGAGGCTGCGGTTGTGCTCCCGTTTTTGCTCCGTTTGCATGACAGAGCGCACGGACTAAGACCAGACAGGTACGTATTAACTAGTCTAAGGTAAGGTAAGAACATATGTCAGTATGTAAAAACGGTGAACTATTCCTTTAACGGAAGGGAAACTGGATCCACTGCAATTTGCATATCAACCCAAAAAAGGATTTGATGATGAAAAACTGTTCCTATCGAATGTCATTTATAAACACCTGGAGAAGGCCAGAGCACATGTTAGACTTTTATTTGCAGACTTTTCATCGGCTTTTAACAAAATGCAGCCTCATATTCTGATACAGAGATTAGCTGCTGATTTCAACCTCCCGGACCAACTTCTTTTATTGATCTTAAACTTTCTTACTGATCGTGTTCAACGTGTTTTAGTGAATGTGAAAATGTCTGCTCCTTCAATCTCCAACACGGGTTCGCCCCAAGGATGTGTCTTTTTGCCTCTTCTTTTTATCGTCTACACAAACAGTTGTCGATTATCAGAGGAGAACAGACTTCTGCTTACATTTTCAGACGACACAGTGCTGGTGTCACTGCTTGCCGGCTCAGAGACGGGCCATGGTCCTGCACTAGCACAATTTGTCTCCTGGTGTGAAAACCATTGCTTGGATTTAAATGATGCAAAGGCCAAAGACATGGTCATTGATTTCAGACGCGTCCTATCCAATAACACCAGCGTCACCCACGGTGGGAATGTTGAAATCGTGAACAGTTACAAGTATCTTGGAAGAACGATAGACAACAAACTGAAGTTTGACATAAACACAGACTCTATCATTAAACGGTCGCAGCAGAGAATGTACCTGTTGAGGAATTTGAACTCTTTTAATGTAAACAGGTTAATTCTTAATAATTTGTATTGTTCTTTTATTGAAAGCCTACTTAGCTTTTCAGTATCATCTGAAAAATCAATAATTAAAGTGCTGGAATGGCTGCTGGTGCAGTCATTTCAGTCTAGAGAGAATACACAGACTCAACATTTCATTAAATGAGTTTATTCCTTAGTTTGTTTGGCACCCTGTGACGATCATTCCTTTGTGACCACTTATAATCCCCCAGGACCTAGGTACTGGTAGCCTGGCCTTAGCCATCCGTACTCTCGGGTCAATCATTTCCCTGCATGTAACGCCTGGGTCTGGTCCCTGTGTTTGTGATTACATCGGTTTAATTCCATCCAACCAATAAGCGAGCGCGGGAGCCGGATGTTAGATGTTAGTTGTGGGTGAGGTTTGCGCCAAACGGGCTGGTTGTAATTTGGCAATGGCGAAGAATGTGTTAGTAAAGTATTCCGGACTAGGTCTATCAAGAAATGGAAGCCGGAGCAAGAGGAATGTATAGCAAAAGTCATTTCTGGCAAAGATTGTGGCGCTACTCCCCACGGGCTCCGTTAGCGGCAAAGGAGATGGCTAGGATAAATGCTAAATCGTAACGACTCACTCGGGCGCATTACATACGTCACGGTGAACTCGGATCCAATCGTTTCAATCAGGAAAATGAGTTAACCCCTCCCACCTGTAAACAGAGCTCAAGGGAGCACCTCCGGACCTTGGTACGAAATGTAATTTGTACTATGGTGTGGTACGACCAGGCTAAGGTACCAGTGGTAGTATGAGATCCAGGTAATGGCGATAGAAACTTGGTGAAGTTGAGATGAGAGCGTGGATAGAAGGTTGAGGAGGAGGCAGGGAGGTGGTGGTTGTGAGGCTTAAAAAAGACAAAAGTGACTTGCAAGGCTTGGGAAAAGGGTTAGATTTTGGGAAGTTTCTGTTAGATACTGAAATGACCACGGAATACCAGCGTGTTGTAGGCTTGGACTTTACTGCATAACAACAACGTTACATTCACTTCCGGTAGTGTCAAGGTACGTAGGCAGACAACATATCAGACTCAGACCATATAGAACGATGTCAGAGCAACCGATGTCAATACTCTACAACTCCTCCTTTTCTAGATAACAAGTACAGTAAGCAGTATAACTTTTACCACTTAAAATAGAACTAAAGTGATACTAATGCAACAGCAGTTTACTTAAAGGGATAGTCTCTTGGGAGGTCGGTGAGTACGCATTGGATAACGTCTCTCAGGTGTAACCGCCGGGCTCGCCCCAGCTCTAGGGAGACCAATGCGTGGGGTCAGGGGCGGACCAGGGCTTGGCAGACACCCCATGTCGCTGTCGGAGCTTTGCAGGTTCCGGCTGTCTTGGCCTGCGGTCGAGCTAGGCAGGCTCATGGTCTCTGGAGTAGCGCTGGCAGTTGGCAGGCTCAGGTCCCCCTGAGCAGCGATGAATGAAGCAGCAGGATCCACCATCTCCGCTGCAGTGCGTACCTCTGACCCCCGTAGTTGATCAAGGTGGCGTCGCCAGATAGTGTCCGGAGCTACTTCTACGGTGTAGGACAAGGGCCCTTGCCTCTCTCTGATTATACCGGGAATCCACTTGTGTTCTCCACGGTAATCCCTGGGAAACACAGTCTGTCCAATTTCCAGTTGACGCGTTTCTCTATTGTGAGTCCCTTTCCCTGCTTGATCTGACGATCCATTACTGTCCGTCGCAGGTTCGGCTTTAGCAGGTCCAGTCTTGAGCGCAGCCCCCGTCCCAGGAACAGCATGGCAGGGGTTCGGTTAGTAGTAGCATGAGTGGCGTTACGGTAGGCAAACAGGACGTTGGCTAACTTCTGCTGAAGAGAAATGGGTGCATCAGCAAAGGCTCGCAGACCTTGTTTTAGAGTTTGTACGAACCTCTCGGCAAGCCCATTAGTAGCCGGATAGTAGGGAGCTGATGTTATGTGGCGGATTCCATTCAGCTTCATAAACATCTGAAATTCACTAGCTGTGAATTGAGGACCATTGTCACTCACCAACTGTTCGGGGATACCAGTTCTAGCAAAGAGACCTCTCAACACGTCGATTGTGTTGGCTGTTGTCGTGGATTTCATGGCGAACACTTCTGGCCACTTTGAACATGCATCGACCACTACAAGTAATGTTTTATTCATGAATGGCCCGGCAAAATCAATGTGTATCCGTTGCCATGGCGATGTGGGCCATTCCCATGTATGGAGGGGTGCCACTGTCGGTTCGTTCTGTACACGCTGGCACCCAGGACAATGTGCTGCGAGCTGTTCTATCTGTTGGTCAATCCCTGGCCACCAGACATAGCTCCTGGCGAGTGCCTTCATCTTCACCACTCCCAGATGACCACTGTGTAACTCTTCCAGCACCCTGGACCTGACCTTGGTGGGTATGATGATCCTCATTCCCCACATAAGGCACCCAGAGTCAATAGCAAGCTCATCCCGGCGTTGGAAATATGGAGCGAGGAAAGACCTTTCACTAGCTGCCCAGCCTGTCTGCGTTGCTTTGTACACTTGTGAGAGAGTCGCATCTTTCCGGGTCTCTCTCTCAATCATCTCCGCTGTCACTGCGAGGCTTTCGATCTGCATGAGCGTGAACATCGCCACTGATTCTTTGTCTCCCTTTGTGCCTGTTGCGGTGTCGAGTGGCAACCGCGACAACCCGTCTGCATTGGCGTGATTTAGCGTGCTCTTGAATTCAATCTTGTACCGATGCCCTCCCAGGAACAGGGCCCAACGCTGCATGCGTGCCGCTGCGGTCATGGGGATAGCTTTATGGGGGTTGAATATTGAGACCAGTGGTTGATGATCGGTCACGAGGGTAACTCCCTGCCGTATAAGTACTGGTTAAATCGTTTTACGCCCCAGACCAGGCCCAGTGCCTCCTTGTCTATTTGGGAGTAATTTTTCTCAGCCGAGGACAGGGAGCGGGAGGCAAATGCTATTGGTCTCTCAGTGCCGTCCCGCATGACATGTGACATAACGGCCCCTATACCATACGGTGACGCGTCGCATGCCAACTTCACAGGCAAGGACGGGTCGTAGTGTGTGAGCACTGTCTCTGATGTCACCAGCCTTTTTACTTCCTGGAAGGCCTGTTCGCATTCCTTGGTCCATTTCCATTTCCGTTCTGCCTGGAGTAGTTCGTTCAGAGGATGGAGCACTGTAGACAGGTTAGGCATGAACCGGTGGTAGTAGTTGATGAATCCAAGGAACGATCTCAGTTGCTGTACATCCTGTGGCTGAGGAGCCTTCATGACGGCATTGATCTTTTCTTTGCATTTATGCAAACCCTGTGCATCAATGGTGTGGCCGCAGTATGTGATACATGGTTTGAAAAACTCACACTTGTCACGTCTGGCCCGGAGTCCGTAATCTTGAAGTCTCTGTAAGACCTTATGGAGGTTCTCCAGGTGTTCGTTATCGTTGGCCCCAGTCACAATTATATCATCTAAGTAACACTGTGTACCTGGAATCCCCTGCAACACCTGATCCATAGCACGCTGCCAGATAGCCGGGGCTGAGGCCACTCCGAATACCAACCTGTTGTAGCGGTACAAGCCCTTCAGAGTATTGATGGTCAGGAACATCTTCGAGTCTTCCTCTATCTCCATCTGTAGATAGGCCTCCGCCAGGTCCACCTTGGTGAACCGCTTTCCACCAGCCAGGTTTGCAAAAATGTCCTCGATCCTGGGAAGTGGATATTGTTCTGCTTGTAGCACAGGATTGATTGTGATTTTGAAGTCCCCACACACCCTCACTGCCCCTGACTTCTTTGCTACTGGGACAATGGGTGTGGCCCATGGGCTCCAGTCAACTTTAGACAGAATTCCGTCGGCCTCTAGGCGGTCCAGCTCCGCTTCCACCTTCTGTCGTATGGCGTACGGAACTGGCCGTGCTTTGTGGAAACGTGGGATGGCCCCGTCTTGAAGAACAATTTTGCCCTTTATGTTTTTTAATGTCCCAATTCCATCTTGGAATACAGGCGTTGCAGCCACCAAGACTGTCTCCAATTTGACCTCTGTGGACTTGTCGGTGGTGTTTGGCGCCACCTGCAGGCTTTCAATGGACTTCCAATCCAGCTGTAATTTCCTCAGCCAGTCTCGGCCCCACAGTGCTTGGACTTTACTGCATAACAACAACGTTACATTCACTTCCGGTAGTGTCAAGGTACGTAGGCAGACAACATAACCGCCCCCCAACTCGCCCCCCAACTCGCTCACAGGCCTCTCATTTCCTCTAACAGCTCTCCTCCAACAAAGCCATCTAGTTTTATTTGCGATCTGAAACGTATGCAAACATTAGAATAAGCGCAACTTCTTGTAAGCCGTACAACAATCACTGATGAAATGGTAAAAAAGCAACGCACTGCAAACAAAATATATAACTGAAAGATTACCGCTAGTTTTGCGTCCAAATGTAGTCCGAGGCGGTCCCGCACCCGCAGGTCTCTCCGGATGATACGATGTAAACTACCTATGGTCACCCGGGCTTGATTTCTTCTTTGATAAATTTTTTGCTTTAGTTCCCTCTTTTCTTCCTCACTGTTGTGTCATTTGGGCTGTTTTGCTGTGTCTGCAGTTACAGCCAGAGGAGTTATAGCCACTTTCTGCTAACATCCTGCTGTGTTTACCTGCGCTGCAGACGCTAGAGGAGGCAGCCTTTTCGCAACAGCATCATTCCTCGTTCTGTGGGTAGAGGAGAGCTAGCCTCACGCTTAGTTTCTACTCTGCACTTTTTACGGCCAGAATTCATACACAAGCTGAATCAATGAGCTCAAGTTTTCAATTAAAATACAGATTTTAAAACAACTTGTAAGTAGTAATACACATTATTTTGAACTCCTTAGAAAATAAATTGGGTACAGCTTCTTTAATTTGCGTTGGTTAGCAGTGTAGTGCTGCGTAACTGGCCGACAGTGAAAAGCTGCAGCAGGTAGCCTACCAGATTGAGTCTACTCAGTAGCGTAGACTAGTGTATGTTCACCCTAACCCTGCTGGATAAGAAAGAGTGATACCATCTAATTATGTATGGGTTGACGGACATTTGTAGACGTTCTTTAAGAAGGATGTGTGGTTGCAGATTGAAAAGGGATTGAATTGAATTGAGAGAGGAGACAGGAGAGAGGCCAGAGGAGAGGAGACAGGCGAAAGGCAAGAGGAGAGGAGAGGGGAGAAGAGAGGACACAGGACAGAAGAGGAGTTGACAGGAGAGGAGAGGGCCCTATTACAGCAACACCTGAAGTCTGTTTACATATTTCTGCAGTGAGTATGCCCACTAAATCCGGATGTCTGGCTCTGATCACAGTGCGTCACAGTGCCCCCAACAGGCCCGGCATAGTTCATGTGTGTTTCTATACACGTTTTGACTTTGTGTGGATCTTGCCTAATGTCTTACTTTTAGGCAGGCATAACTTCACACTTAACTAGTCATTGTCATTGTCGCCCACACCGAGGCCCACAGTTACCTGAGGACAAGGCCTCTATAATAATGGTGATTATCGGAGTCCAGGAGGTCAGCTGGCTCTTTGTTCTCTGCTCTCACAAATGCCCAGCTGCTTACGAGCTTTGACAAGACATTCAAACGGTTTTGTGTGCCTTTGTTGTGCCTCCCTGTTGTAAAAGGTAACAGATCAACAGTTCTGTGTCCATGGGGGGTCATTACATTCTACATTCTCTGATTGCTCTGTGTCAAACGATGAATACTACACCAAAAGATAAAGTCCAGGACGAAAAGAGTAATCCCGTCTGTACAACCCTGTAGTTACAAACCTGGTTGAGTTTGTGATGGGAAAGCAATGCAAAATAAAATGGTTAGTTAAATGACCTTCAACATAATATTATTTGGGATTTTAATCGTTATTTATGTGCGCCTAGCCTTTCACAGACCTGAGTCACAAAGCGCTTTATAATTGTTGGCTTATCTCTCCCACTCAACAAAGAGCAGGGGTCACCAGTACAGTACAGGAGGCGCATGCCAGACCTATTGTACATGTTTTTAGTTTCCCCGGTCATCCTGAACTGTGTTTATTCTTTTGAAATCCATCAGTTTTCTTTAAATCTAGATTTTAGTGCCACAAACTTGGCTCGCTCTGATTGGTCAGAATTGGTCCAGAATGTCCCTCTCGGGTCCTTCTGTCTGGACTCTCTATCTCTGGTTTCTCTCTATCTTTGGTTTCTCTCTATCTTTGGTCTCACTCTAGCCTGGCCTTAGCCATCCGTACACTCCGCTCAATCATCATTTCACTGCATGTAACTTCTGGGTCTGGTCCCTGTGTTAGCGAATACAATCGGTCGTATTCCGACCGGCTACTCAGAGAGCGCGTTGTAGGTCGGTGCCGGTGACGTCAAGAGTTTGCGCCGAAAGGGGAGGTTGTAGTTTGGCAGTGGCGAAAAATGCGATAGTAAAGTAATCCGGTCTGGTTCTATCAAGAAATTGAAGCAGGAGCAAGAGGAATGTTTAGCAAATGTAATCGCTGGTCAAGATTGTGGTCTAGTCTCACTCTGGTCACTGGTCTCACTCTAGTCTCTCTCTCTTTGGTCTTGCTCTCTCTCTCTCTGGTCTATGTCTCTCTCTGGTCTCTTTCCCTCTGTTCTCTTTCTCTCTGGTCTCTTTCCCTCTGTTCTCTCTCTCTGGTCTCTGTCTCTCTCTGGTTTTGCTCTCTCTCTCTCTGCACCGCTCACATGCCAGTGTGTATGTGCTTGTGTGTGTGAATATGTGTGTGTGAGGACATTGAGGCTCATGCATGTTATGTCTTATTCTAACTATAAAAACAAGGATGTTATGTTGCCAGGGGAAACCAAAACCTCAAGGACAAATTTCATCCAAAGTGCCGCTCTTATTGGTCCGTATACAACTTTGAAAAGCAGCCAAGCACTTTATCTCGCTACAAAAATCAATTAGACAAAGCGTCTATATTCTCATCTCCATCAAACGAACATGAATAATTCACTAATCCAATCATAGTGGAATGTGATTAGCTGATTTAGATCTAATTGGGGCATAACCAGAGCAGCGTCTGCGGTTCTCAGCTGATTATCACTTGCGTTCACACACGGCGTCATTTCGTTATCGCGTCGTGTGAAACAGTGTCAGAGTTTCACCGCGGCTCAGGAGACCGGCCCTCTGTCTGACTCCTGTGTCGTGTGACGAATGGTGTAACCATTTCCCTGCGTGGCCAATGCAAAAGCCAGATTCTGTCAGAGCTCTGAAGCTGTGCAGGGCAGGGCCTGGTGAGTACTGTGATGGCAGACCTCTGGCAACACCAGGTGCCACAGTGGGATGGCTGCGGCGGTAAAGTGTCAAATGGCAAGACACCTAGCCTAGATTGAATATGGTGTGTGTGTATGTGAATGGCTGGTAGTGTTCGGAGAGGCCGATAGCACATACTGTTGGCCTCGCTTCTGTCAGTGTGCCCTAGGGCAGCTGTAGCTACACCAGTAGTTTATCACCATTGTGTATGGAGTGAAAGAAAAATGACAAGTGAAGTGTATTTGAATGTCCTGAATAGCGCAACATAAAAAAAATATTATTATTATAACTGCATGTACTAGGAGAGGCATAGGAAGACCAGAAGGAGTGTGTTTTTTTACCATGTAGTGACCCAATTCAGTTTTGTGTCTCACCCTAAATCAAAACAGCTGACATCGAGGAGCTGTGGATTCACCAACAACAGATCAGAGAGAACTGTAGATCCAGGACTGGGGCTGTAGATCCAGGGCTGTATCCAGGGCTGTAGATCCAGGGCTGTAGATCCAGAACTTAGGCTGTAGATCCAGAACTGAGGCTGTAGATCCAGGACTGTAGATCCAGAACTTAGGCTGTAGATCCAGAACTGAGGCTGTAGATCCAGGCTGTAGATCCAGAACTTAGGCTGTAGATCCAGAACTGAGGCTGTAGATCTCACGGCCAAAGTGTTGCTCATGTGTAAATGAAAACAGACAAACGTACACAATTAGACAAAGGTGATACTGACACTATAAACAAACAGATCCTTCGATGCTAAATTGAGACTCCAAGGTGTGGGTGCTGTGGGTGCGTGTGGGTGCTGTGGGGTGTGGTGTATGCGGCATATTTGTTGAACCTCATGATCATGACACAATTTTCTAGTTTGAGCTACCTCTGAGTGAGACCTTCCCTCTGCCGTTGCTGCACATTGTTAGTGTTTTTATTTATTTATCATATACAGTAGTGTCTCCCAAAGTGGGGTCCGCGGCCCCCTGGTGGGTATTGCAGGGTGCCGCGGGAGGTCATAAAAAAAAAAGATATTAATAAATTATTGAATGTTAAATTAATAATATTTTGTTTGTGATATTAAAATATTTGTGTTCATTATTTGACTTGAATAATCAAATTGTAATCATTTTTGTATTACAATGTTTGTAGAAGAGGCTATTTCCCCCAAATATAATAACGAGAAGAGCCTATATTTAACGTTTTCTTGGTTATCATTTTGGGGGGCCGTGCAGACCCGTCAGATTTTTAAGGGGGCTGCGGTGTTACTGACTTTGGGAATGGCTGATCAACAGTATATGTTTTAAGTTTTCTTTACTTCTTTATTTATTCTTCTTTTAGTACAATGTATTACTTTTTGTTAACTCATGGGTTCAGAGCAGTGACTTCTAAAACATGAAATTCTAAAGTGAAATAAAACAAGGTCAAATGTGCACAATGTTTGTTCTTTCGACAAAGTGAGAAAGTCGATAATCCTTCAGAAAACGTTTTCAGGGACAAAAACTGTAATTTCATGTGGACTTATTCCATGCAGTTTGTCTCTGAAGTAATAAAGGAGAAAGTCAGATGAAAAGTTGTGAACTTAGGGTTTTGCCTGGCGTAATAAAAGTGTGATATGTTTAAGTGATGTGCCTTTTGACGCATCTCCTGCAAAACAATGTGAACAGGATTCCAGGTTCCACAGCCGAGTATTCCAGCTTCAGGCGGCTATACATCTACAGAAACAATGAAAACAGCTACTCTGCTCTGCTCTACCCTGATTGGGAGAGTTTTCACTGGCCCCAGTACCAGCCCACTAAGCAAGCCCAAGTCGAAACAATGTTAATTCAATGTCACTGCCCGACGCAGAACATAGGTAGCTGGTGGGTACAGAATAAAAGTTTTCCCGAAGTCATTTCCTATTGTCATCTGGACCTCTAAATTTGATATTGATGGAAACCATTTCATCCAAGGTTGAAATGTGGTACAGAACTGGTTCGGTTTGATGTTCAATCGCCGTCTTATATGACTAAAATACTGACGTTTATGATGTTTGTTTTCAGTCCTTCCCACTAAAAAAAGCCGATGTCAAAACAACGTCCTTTCAATGTCATTGCCCGATGTAGAAAATAGGTGGCTGAAGGGTGCAGAATTAAAGTTTTCCCAACGTCATCCGGACCTCCAAAAGTGACGTTGATTGCATGTCCAGTCAAGGTCAAAATATGGTACACAACAGGTCGGGTCCGACGTCCTATTGACGTCTTAAATGACCAAAGTTTATTTGTACAACACAGTTCATACACAAGGAAACAGAAAAAAATCACAGGAGGCATTGCAATCATAAATAATCACTGTACACTAAAAAGAAAGATACAAGTAAAACCCCTTAGATGTAGCAGAAACAGAACTGTTTTTAACCTGGATTAAAGACAAAGAAGCCTGTCTCACATTGACAGATTATAGCTGCATGAATCTGAAATGTAGCCTTATTATGGTTTTTTTTTTACTCTGGGCAATTAACGATAAACACAGCATTTACAATGCATTAGAACAATTGTAGTAAAAGGATATCAGCCATTTCACAATCTGAAAGGCAGAATAATGCATTTATTAAATGTTGACGTAAAAGGAGAAGGAAGAAAGTCTGCAATTGGGATCTAGGCAGCGCTCCCTCGCCTTGAAGCATGTTTGAGGTGTTCCAACATGTGTCCTCTCTTGGTCACAAGGATCATGCACGGCACCTGCAAATGTGAAACACGTTTAGTTTCAACATCATGCAATGTAAATTAATATAAAACATCTCAGAACTTTCTATTAATGCCTCAAACCACTCCTCTCGATAAATCACCAATTTGGTCCAGAACTTGGCACTGCACTCACTCGTGCAAGTATTGTGAAACACATTTATTTTACAATAATGGTCTGCATTGGCTAAGTTAGATGTGTTTTAACATATGGCTGGTTTTAAAGTTTGGATAAAAAGTAAGAAATTGTGTAGGTTTTTTTGGGTCAGTTTTTTCCCCATGCATGAATAGGGTTGCGGGCGCTAGTTAGCTTACTACCAACAGTAGAAAAGAGATGTTTAATAATTGCCAGCTAACAGTAACAACTGTAGTGGCTCATTTAAACAGCCACAGTGAGAAGATGTGAAAGTCTCCGACACTGAAGACCAGGGAAACGTAATCCAATGAAGTCCATTTATTAAACAAGAACATTAGTCTCTTTCATCTTGCAGCAGATAGAAAATCTGTGTGCTCCCACGGTCCCACACCTGGTAAGTAAGTAAGCTTTATTTATTTCACAGACCAGAGTCACAATGCAGTTTACAATTGTTATTTTTTTTTGGGCACTAACTAACTAATGACATCACAGGTGTGTCATTAGTGTCCCAGATATTAAAGCTGATCTACCTGTTTTGAAACTTAGATTTGTACAGTTGTCCTTTGAAGTTTATAAATCATTTTGAAATATACTATACATACAGAAAACTATACAATATTTTTCACTTAAAAACTCTTTTCAACTATTTTGGCTCTCACAACAACCCCAATTGAGCACATGGGATTTTCTGGCTCTAAAAAACTTTCAAACTGTTCGTCTTTGGAGAAAAATCTGAATGTGCGCATTCATAGAATACCTATTCAACTGTTACTGCCCAGTCTCGATGTATCTTTGCCATTGACTATTAAGATCTTTGCTCAAGAGAGTAGCCTACAATGCACACAAGTATGACAAGGATTCAATTCCGGAATAGTTTTGCATTGATTGCATATCATCTATCTAAGTCCACATTTTTTCTCTGTTTGGTTAAAAAGAAGGGTCCTCAACCGAACAACCTCGAGCTGGTACTGACAGTAATTTGCCAGTGTGCTGCAGGAAGCCAAGGAATTTGCACAAATTCTACAACCTCAGTCCTTGATCTTCAACCTCAGTCCTGTATCTACAGCCTGTCCGTCCATGGGAGCTCTCAATATGGACCTCCCAGAGGTCTCACATTTTTTCCCATTAGGTTTTGAGTCGTGGCAATCCCGCTCCCCAGGGATCAATGGTTTCTATATGTTTGTGCTAGAACTGTTTGATTCTCTGATAGGCTGTTTGTGAATCCACAACTCCATAAAGTCGGCTGAGACAACTGCTGTTTTGACTTAGGGCGATTAATAAATATAATACATGTAATTGAATTTATTGTATAGATTTTTAAAACTACTTCAGTCTGTTTTTAATTAGTTTTAACACCAATAGTTCGTATGTGGTTTTATCTGGTCCAAATACAAAGCAGAATGGATCCGGTGCACTGAGGGAACAAGCTGACCTGATATTGGACAGATGTTCATTTTCTCCCACTGCCAAATGAAACACAAAGCTAAACATTTTTTTCAAATGGAGCTAAAATCAATAGCGGTTTTGTAATCCTGGAGATGGAGGGATTAATGTCATAAATCAGAAGTGTGGCTTCTGTGTGAGTTGCATATCCTCTAAGTTACTGTAATGGATGAGATACTTTGTACAATTGTACTTTTGTTTATTGTTTCACACAAAAAAACAGTCCCCTGCTGGAGAAGTATGCACTAAGTTAAGTGGCAGTGGTTCTACATTGCACATTCTCACATTATTTGAAATTACAGATGCACAAGATGTGAGGTCAGGTCAGTGTTCATTTGTCTTCATTGTTCATTGTACAGTCTTACAGCAGCAGGGAAGGAAGACCTGTGCAACCTCCTCTTCACACAATCAGGGTGGATCCGTCTGTCACTGAAGCGACAGTCATGGGTCACATGATGTTAGTTTGTCCAGGACCCTCCTGTCCCCCACCTGCTGCACTGTGTCCTGGTAAAGGACAGAGCTGGACTTCTTAATGATCTGTTCCAGCTTCTTCCTGTCCCTCTCTGTGATGCTGCTACTCCAGCAGACCACACTGTTCAAGATTATGCCACCACAGAGTCATAGAAGGTT